GAATCGCCTCCTGAAGACGGGAATGCTGATGAGGGCGCCCGATGCGCCCGACTCGAAGCCTCGGACGATCAATGTCCAAAGCATTACGCCGATCCAGAAGAGAAGCCGAGGGTCCTTGCGTAGGGTTTGTCCCCAGGTGCGATTGTGCTCTTGCTGTTGGATGGCGCGTCCGTGGACCTGGTCGTCGCGGTGTTCGACCATTTGAATGTCGTCTCCCTTGGCGGGCTCATCGAGTTTGGACTCGGCTGTCGCCATGATGGATTATCTTGGGGACTACAAGGGGCTGGGTAGCTTGCTGACTTGGTGTCGACAATGCTGTCGATGGTGGCAGGACAATGGCTGAGATGGACAAAATCGACCCGAGATCAAGGAATGCTTTATATGCCAGAGGTCCCGTGAGTCGTTTCATAGAGTACCCGTGAATAGACAAGCTCGGCCAGAACTTCCCCGCTAGCTTCCCCGGACTCGAGGACTGGGGAGACCAGACGGGAAGAAAACCCACGTTATGAGACCATGGGAGAAGGGTGTCTCGGTGAGGTGTACCCCGCGACTCCACTTTGCAAGTTCCAGCCTTGGTTGAGCTCCTTGGCACGACGACGCTATTGGTGATCTCGGCGAATCCTCCTTAGCCATTGCAACTTTCTCTGATTTGCTTCCGAGCATTTGGATTTGCTTCCGAAGCCAGCTCGAGTGGCCAGAGCACAGACAACCAAATCCTCGGTATCTGATCCTATTCATATACCGAGCCAGTCACACGGGTCCTCAATCGTGCCTGTGCATTGATTCAGATGTATGCGCCATAACTGATGGACATTGGGGTCTTTTCAACAGGTCAGACATAGCTAGGTTTCTCAACTGACATCGCATGACATTGATCCGAATGCCATGTATCTCGAGAAGATAATGGATCAGCCACGGTCTGTTCAAGGCGACGATGAGTGCGGCGATGCGCAGGTGTATTCAGCACACGATGGTCGCTCTCTTCACATACCATGCCTGGTTCAACATCCCCATCTTGTATTTGCTGACCCAAAACCGAGCTTCAGTAATGATCTAACTTCCAATGACCCTTCATTTCCTTCTGCTTTAAATAACCAGCCTTTAGTGAATGAATCCTGTTGTTGGCTGTAGCTGCCGACCGAGTCAAGAGACTCTCTGAGGCATTTGCACCATAAGCAATCACAAGTGATAGCGTGGAAACCCGTCGGAAACCTCCGTCTTTGCAGTTGACCGACCATTCGCTACCTAACCATGTGTCCCATACCTCCAGTCCGCAGGCCAAAACCTCCCGATACGATCGCGAGTGCGGCCCGCCTCCGGTTTCTACTTGGCTTCTCGGGCAATATATGTCACCGATCTGACTAGCAGGTTATCCCCCCAACATACTGAAAACCCCACTTACAGGCCCTGCGGACCACAACGAACCCCCAGTCTGACCTCTGTGAAGAAGAAGAATTCGCAAGATCCAGTAAAACGCAGTCAATGTTAGTTCTGAGTTAAAAAAGGGAACTGGACCGGCCAAGTCGACCAGCGGCATGCGTCTGGGCAACCACCCATGTAGGCCGTTGAGGTGTGGAACAAATCTGCGACAGAGCATGTAGAATATCTACAATCATCAGCTTCCTACCGTAACGTCAGCTTCACAAAGGCTGCCAGCAGTACGTACCGTCTCAGCCATGTCGGCGAATGGGCCACCGAGAAAATGGGCGACTATGGCACTGCCCACACGCTCTCGAGCGTGTATTTTCTCCCCTCCCCAATAAGGTATGACGTGTTTGAGGGACATGCCCCCTGCCCTATTCAGCATGCGGTCTGTGAACGAAAGTATCGCCACAAGTATTGCATTGCAGATAAGGGCGGAAGCGAGCCAGGCAGTGACGTGCCACCAGGAATATCTTAGAAGCTGGGATCTTGGTCCGTTGTGTAATAAGAGATATGTTGTCGGCTCGATATCATGTCGCTATCGGTAGTTAGCATACAGTATTGGAGTAGATGGAGAGGGGTTTGACGTACGTTTTGGCGGAGTGACTCCAGAAAACCAACAACTATAAAGGCCATTAAGACGTGTATCAGTGCTGTAGGCTTTAATGATTTTTCGCCGGGAACCTGGAAGTGGTCGGCGAACGAGCCGATGGCTACAAGTAGAGAGACCACGGCCACTTGGTGGGTGTAGAGGGCCAGTCTGGCATGTTTCACACGTAGGTGCCATGTACAGGAGGAGTATAGCGTTGCGAGGGCCAGGGGGACTGTGAGATATTGGGCCGTTGACAAGAGATTCCGGGCTTTGAGGTCGAGAACCCAGAAAACAACGCGGGCCAAGATTGCTACCAGCCAGTAGCTGACGTGGTACACCGGTGAGAGCATGCCGCGATAGCAGTTTGTAAACACTCGGATTGCTTGTTTCGCCGATTGTTCGCCGACTGTGTGTCGTTGGGTTAAGGCGAAGCACAGGGAAAGTTGCTCAGACGGTTGGCTCGATTTATTTTTTTTATTTTTTTTGCATTGCATCGTGAAGTCTTAACAGGGAATGTGCGACTGTAGAAGAATCGACGTGGCCGTTGGATCAGATACAGGGTGAAGAGTTACTTTAAGTGGCTGAGACTACCTTGGTGGTCGCGATGGGGCATCGTCGTAGTGAAGGCCAACTTTATGACCACCATTGTTAGCACCTGGCCGTTTTCGTGCGCGTGGCTTAACAAGAAGAGAGTGAAGGGGTAGAAGTTGACCGCTTTACGCATGGCCTCGCGCATGTTGAGGTGTCTATGGTTCCTACCCTAGGCTAGGTACCTCACCCTACCTGACGTCAGGTACTCACAAGGGTACTTGACCGAAATACCTACCTCACTTAATTACGTAGGTGCCAGCAGGGAGGTGTCTACCTTCTGAACCAAAGAAGAAGCTGCTTGCAATCGCGGCGACCAGTTCGCCAAAGATTGCGAAAGCACCGAACTTGTGACCCGTCTGGCAAGGTCCGCATCGTGCCTTAATGCATTGCATCTAGGCATGCCAATCAACACTACTGGAGCGGAATGCAGTTCTGTCCGAATCGCAGAAGGAGCAGCTGAACCTGGATGACGAGCGAAGGCCGAAGACCAATTCCATGCCGTGGTATGCGACACAGGCAAAGGCCGGCACTGTGGTCTCGATCGCCAGGGAATCAAACACAATCAAAAATATAACTTGAGGAGAGGCACCTGCGGATCAAGTCGGGGCACCCGAGACGGTACAAGTTGCCTTTCAGGCATTAGTCTACCTGAGAAAAGACGCCTGGACGTCGCGAGACTGGCTGTCGGTTCAGCCCTTGATTCATCTATCTGTTCTGTCGTGGGGTTTCATCATTGCGTCATACACCTTAGGGGGGGGACTTTTTATTGAAAATTCCAACGTGCAGCCTTTTCTCGATACGTTCGCAATAAGAGGCAAGCAACCTTGTTTGTGATCTACCGGACATATTCTCAGCGACATTTGGGAACAACCCTGTGTCGAATTATCGGGATTAGAACATCATTGAGGAAAGGGCTTGGAAATAAAGACGTGCCATGCTGTACGACAACTGTCATCACATGGTGGTTGGAATGTGGGAGATATTGTCGGGATGCACCAGCGGAGCCACGAATCAGGGGCTAACCAACGGGCCTTGGACTACGAGAGGACGTATATAGGGCATGTGGGGGGCCTTTACAGCTACGGAAGGCCAGAATTCAGATGTATTCCTCTCCCCTACCCAGCAATTGACTGCGGATATCACCTGCGGAAGACCTCTCCTTTCTACTCACCCACATGCTCTGACAGTCATTCTTTTAACGCACTCGTGAGTAAGATAACGGCGGACCTTGTAGGCTGGGCGCTGCATGACTTGGTGAGCGAACTGAAGAAGAAGGTCATCGGAAATGTTCAGTCAAGTCTCGACATTCTGTATATTACCACCATCGGAATCAACTTAAACCCGATCAATGGAATGGAGCGTGGCGGATCAGGCAGATGCAACCCTGGGACCTTTCAACGTAGAAGCAGCTAGTGATCGTCCCATTCAAAGACGCTATTTCATTTCATTTGAGGCGCGCTGCGCCCACCGTGATGGCGTCATGTTGGGCGGAATTGTGACATTTCCAGCGCATCGTTCGGGAACCTCCATAAAGTCGCGGCCGGGACGGCCCCGAACCTTCAATGTTTCGATGGTTAAGCCATCGCAGCTCTCTCGTACCCGAACGTGCCTCTTCATCTTGGAAGATTAATCAAATCGTTCGTGACGTTTGCGAACACCCAAACCTCTTCAAAAGCCCTCACCACACTCGCGAAAATGTTTGTCAACCGCCTCTCCAGCCTCTCCGGCGGATTCTCCCGATCGAGCCCTGCCGTCGCCCGTCGTCTCCTCTCCACATCGAGATGTCTCAATCAATCCATCGCCCTTCAGATCAACGGTCAAGGCTCAGGCGCGAAACAGCACGTCACCATCCAGGGAAAGCCATACTCATTCACGACAGACACCTACACGACGCTGGGCGGCGAGGACTCGGCGCCGTCGCCGGTCTCGTACTCCCTCGCTAGCCTGACGTCCTGCAACCAGGTGACCGGCGGCGTCGTCGCCAAGGACCATGGCGTCAAGCTTGGCAAGTGGGACGTGTCGCTGGAGGGCGTGCTGCCGACAGCTGTGCTCGTGGGCGGCGAGCAGGGGAACCCGAACTGGGAGAGCGTGGATCTCAAGGTCCAAGTGCAGACGAGTATCAAGGGCGGAAACGAGGCTGCTGAGTTCAAGAGGTTCGTGTCGGAGGTTGAGAGGCGGTGCCCCATCACGCAGCTCTTCAAGCTCAGCGGAGTGCGGTATAACAGCAAGTGGGAGAATCTGCCGCTCTGAGGGACGCTCATTTGTACTGTGATACGAGAAATGATTCGATGGCGGGCGAAAAGAACGAGCATGTCGTCCTTGAGGAGGCTTTAGCACTGGTGGCACTTCGCGATTAGCCATTTCTTGGGCTGTCATCAAATGTGCACCAGATAATTCAACCCAGAATCTGTGCCTTCATGCACACGATGCCCTCCTTTTCAACAGAAATATCCCAGCTTTTGTCATCTCTTGAGCCGCGCTCGCCCACCGTTCGGATGTCGAATGTCTCGCCCGCGTAAATCGGCGACAGGGCTTTGTAGGCAATCTCCCGTGGGCTTTGCCCTTTGCCATGAACATCTCGCCAGTAATCGAGCATGCTGATAAGATTCAGAGGTCCGTGGACGACCACACCAGGATGTCCTTCCACGTCTCTGGCCCATCCCTGGTTGTAGTGAATCTTGTGGCCGTTGAAAGTCAAGGCTGAGAAGCGGAAGAGGCCAACAGATGACCATGATAACCGGCGGAGAGGGGGTGCTGTCACACGCCGTCAGAGTCGTGCGTTTGGATCGGCAATGCAAACATACCGTCATGTTCATAAGCAATATCTTCACAGGTTGATGGCCCTCGTACGAGGTTTTCGTGAGATTTTGGCGGTGGAGTCGTGGCTGTCGCCTCGGGATGGATCTCTGGCCGGAAGATCCAAGACCGCCGGTCAACGAGAGCCAGCCCGTTGGGCCCCCAAAACTCTTTTTCAACATCCACGAGAACCATATCTTCACCTCGACGACTCGCTTTCGCCGTGGCGCCCAATAGCCTCGTCCGCTCTTCAACTTCGTCACCTACGCGGATGGGCTCCTCTCCTGCTGGCCACATCATCTTTCCACCAGCCCACATTCGTCGACTGAATGGCGACGGTGCATTGAAGGTCTTGTCTGTGCCATCAGCACCTAGCTCGCCCTCAATGCCATTTGGCGTAAAGTACACAAGGTGATAACCGTGCGGCAACGGTGTTCCGGTAGGGGGTGCGGAGATTGAGACGTCAAGGTCTCGTGCCAGTTGTCGCCTGCCAAGCGTCAGACTCAGCTTTTGCAGCTGATTTCCATCGACTACCTGTCGGCGCGCGACGGTTGTGTCCGCAAAGCTTTCGAGTAGACGCAAAGCTGCTTCAGAGGCCGTTTTCTGCATGGGACGATGTGTCATCGACGATTGGAAGCGGGGCATTCCATACGTGGCCGAAGGCGAGATGCGTCGGGCCATGCGCGCAGCAAAGTGCATGATGAAAATGAGAAGCCTACAGTGTGAGGCCTAGAGTAATGCATCAAAGCTGTCGTCAAGTCTCGACGAAGTGTGTTTGCCTTCCCTTGCCTAAGCACTGTTAGAGGCTGCTCGAGGAGCTGCGAGTTGGGAAGGTTGCTGACTGCTCGGCTACTTGATCAGAGGGCCAAATAGCCGAATGGATCAAGCGCCCTCAGCGAACCACATTCGAAGGGCCAGCCGAGAGCATGTCCCAGCGCCCTTCCAAACCCACATCAAAAGAATGCAAGCCCAACATACAAACTCGGTGCTTACAGCGATCTTTCAAGGAATGTAAGACCCTCGGCCTGCATGAAATCATCCGACTGCAAAAACAGACCGATGTCCGCTAGCGAATGATCACCATCCCAGCCGTTAAGCAGGGCGAAGTAGGGGTCCTCGTAAGATTCGTGGGGGCGAACCTGCGCCAGGTTGTCGGGGCCTGCATCAGAGGTTGGAGCCCTGAAACTTGAGTCTGCCGTGTCGATATCAGAGGCTACTTGGTTGGCAGCATCAACAATCGTCGAACTATGAAGAGAGGTCTCGTGTTGATCACCGTGAAGCCTCTTGGCGATCGATTCATCGAGATACTGGAGAAACAGGTCGAGCACGTTAATGTTAATCCTCCAGTATTTCTGTATCTCTTTGAGACCAAGGAGGCACATTTGAGCGCGTGTCTCAGCTATCCGTCGCGAGACGTTGGCTCCCCTTCTAATACAGATGACGTGTATGCACAAGGCTGCAAAGACGCTCGTGATCCTATGTGCTTGGTCAGTAAGTCTATGACTTAGAATGGGAGATGGATGTACAAGTGCATCTGGCCATAGCGAAGCGTCCCCTGAGAAAGCATATCTTCGGCAATGCGACTTATGCGGCAGGCGGCGGTGACCACGATTTTGCTGCCTGGTTCTGGCGCCACGGAACGCAGGAAGTCGTCCCTGTGGATCAGAATCTTCAAATGACTGCAAAGAACGTCAGTATTTTCGGACGAGAAACCTTGGCACTATCCAAAAAACGTACTTGTAAGATAGGTGGAGGAGAGAGGCCCACACCGACGTCCCTCCTTCGTCGGCGTCCTCTCTCACATCCTCCGGTAAACTTTTCTTCCAGGCTTCTAGAGACGTGTCCAGACTTTTCACCTGCTCGGATGTGGACGGGAGCTTCCCAGGCACATAATGCAAGTCGATAATCCGGCCAACTAAATGAGGTCATGTATCAGCCTTTCCGTCTGCCGGTGGAGGCAGGGGATGCCCACGTAGCCTTGCGATTTCGACCATTTTGGTAGCGTATACAACATGCTCAGCGGTATAGACACCAAGGCTTAACGTTTCTGGTGTAAGCTGTTCAGAATCAAGGTCCGTCGGACTCAAGGGCTCAATGTCACAGTCCTCATCTCGTATCCTGCTCGGTAGTCCCAGAGAAACTGCAGACTGCCGTTCTCGAACCTGTACAAGTCAGCAAGGATGGTTAGAGAAGTAACGGCCATGACACTGACATAGATAGACCACCATAGCCTCCTTCTCAGACGTGACCTTTTCACGTCTCGAGTGGAGAATTTTGTCCTGTGCCATGTCAGATGAAACACCCCCAGGTATCGCGATGTTGAACTCACAATCGATGGTAGCCGTATGACTCGGCCAGGCTAATGACGACTCCAAGCCAGTACCGCACATCCCTCACGTCCGACGGCCCACCCCGCCAGAAGCTGAGGAGAAAGAGGGACTGTAAAAGGGTAATCTCGTCCTTCTCCCAATCGGCGTGGAACAGCAGTCGGGCTCGTGTGTACAGGAGTGATTTGGCTTCGGATCTGTCCTTGAAGCCCATCATAGCGATAGTTTCATCGCCACAATATGTAGCACCAATGAACAAGACAGCTTGGAGCAGCATTGGTGAAACTACCGATTTCGAGACCTGCTGCGCGAAATCCGCATGGTCGAGAACAGGGAAGCACGGATGGGACCAAGTAAAGTATGCCTCGAGGGCTGGCAGGTAGGTTTTGGGGTCGGGAAAGGTGAGTGCCCCTTCATCTCGTAAGTAGCGGGTTGTACCAGCACTCAGGTGGGCGATGCTCGCAGGCGATGCCCCGCCAGTCTGCGACTGAGGAGTCGAGGGCGTGGGAAAGACGAAGCGGGTTTTCTGGCCATGTTCGCGGCCTTGCGTCGAGCGCTCGCCGTTTGCCTGAGTTCGGCCCGGCACCAGTGTGTGGAAATTTGATTCGCCAAAGAACAGATTGCCCGGCGTCGAGGTGGACGATGGGGATTTGAACGATGTACGATTCGCATTCTCGTCACCCAAGTCTGTGCCAGGACCTGGCGCTGGGTCTGCAGCCAAACTGTCGTCACGTCTTGACGGTGATGCGGCATCTAGACTCGCGGCATGACTGTGTGAAAGGGTGGTGGATTGTGGGCTATGGGCAACAGACGCTGGTTCAGCTTCTGCTTCAGAAGCCTGGCCGCCGGAGCCCGTGTGCTTATTCTGGCGCGTTTTCTTACGAGGATATCTGCGAATGATCAGGTCTTGCTTCTAGAGACTGGCGTAACAGTCTTACCTGCCCCGCTTGGACGGTAAGACTTCGCACTTGGTGCCGGCAGTCTCACAGTTGGAGCAGGGATAGATCTCGGTGACGTTACAGCGCACTCGCCTCGAATTGCACACCCGACAAGCATGTTTCGCACGAGACTTCTTGTCATAGGCGTGTGAGCCAGTCACAGTCGGATCCATGGTCGCACACCGAACAGATGATGCTCGCCATGAGTGGGCGATTGGTGCACGTGAGGGAGGGTGGTCGACAGGAAGATGGCGGTCTTGAACATGTGTAGTGTAATAATGTTCAGAGTAGTGTGACGCAGCGCTTTTCTCGGAAGGAATGCACTGTGGCTTGACTCGGCCTCGGGTCTTCCACCCTTGAATGTGACACTGTGCGAAGACTGTGAGGGTGCTCTCCCCTCATCCCATATGCAGGCAGGCACCTTCGACGACTTCATGCCCGCCTAGCAACTTCTCAGACGTCGCCTTCCAAGTCGCAATCCCTCTGATTGTCAGGATCACGCCTTCGAGCCTCCATTACCCAGACGTCCCAGTACCTGATTCTCATTTGTTCACGTATCAACAGCCGCATCCCTCAATAGCTGCGTGGCAGCTCAAGCACCTTCTCGCTGATAAAGTTGAGAATCATCTCTCGACTGACGGGGGCGATCCTGGGCACCATGCACTCCCGCAACCATCTCTCCACATCATATTCCATCGCATAGCCCATCCCGCCATGTGCCAGGACGGCCCGTTCGCATGCCGCAAATGCTGCCTCTGCCGCCAGGTACTTGGCGCTGTTTGCTGCGATGCCCAATTCGTGAGCCTGGATCGACGCATCCGTCTTGCTGCTGGCATCGTAGAGACGAGCTGCATGGTACGTCGCCAGCTTTGCCGCCTCCAGCTGCATGTATGCATCCGCCAGCGGATGCGCCACCCCTTGATTCATACCGATCGGGCGGCCGAACACCACCCGCTCGCGAGCATACGTCGCCGCCCTCGTCAGCGCCGCGTAGCCTAACCCGAGAGCCTCGCCCGCCAGCAGGCACCGCTCAGCATTCATCCCATGCAATATCATCTTGAATCCCTTGCCCTCCTCACCTATGAGCGCGTCGGCCGGGATGTGGTAGTTGTCGAAGAACACTTCGTTGGCATCGACTGCCCGTCCACCCATCTTCTTGATCCTGCGCATGTCGAGGCCCTTGGCTTCTCTGTCAATGTCGATGGAGAAGAGCGAAAGAGCCTGTGGCCCTGTGCGTGCGAGGAGGATCATCTTGGACGCCACCTGCGCACATGTGATCCAGATCTTTTGCCCCGACACGCTATACGACCCGTCATCGAGCCTGTTCGCCGTCGTCGTCAGGCTGTTCGTGTCGAGGCCCGCGTTGGGCTCCGTCACGCCAAAGCACACGCGCCACTTGCCCGACACGATGTTGGGAACAGCCGCCTCGAGCTGCTCCTGCGAGCCGAACCTCGCCAGCGGCTGCGTCGCGTACACGTTGGCGTGGATAGACTGCGCCCCCGCCATGCCGGCGCCGGACTCGCTAATTGTCTGCATCATCATGGTCGCTTCGGAGATGCCGAGGCCCGAGCCACCGAGAGACTCTGGTAATGCGATGCCCAGCCAGCCGCCCTTGGCCAGCGCGGCGTGAAATTCTTTCGGGTCCGCCTCCGTCTGGTCGCGCTCCTGCCAGTACGTGTTTGGAAACTCGGCGCAGATCTGTCCGACGGCCTCGCGAACCATGAGCTGGTTCTCTGTGAAGCCTGCCATGCCCATGATTTTTCTAGCGTTGGACGTTGAGAAGTGACATGATGACAGCCATGAGGCACACGGCGATGGCGATATCTTGAGTGATGAAAGAGCCGATGGCTGACGCACGCGCCAGAGCCGATGAGCAAGCCGTCGCGACATCTCTACTAGGCCAACAAAACTCAAGAGCCGAAGAACAATCAATGTAAGCTTTTCGCTGGTGCTTGTTGATAAGTAGGCAATCAATGTATGATGAACGACAAGGCAACAGATGGTCAATGAATTGCACGGCTCGCCCACTATGGTCCTGCACCTTTGACGTCAAGCGTCATGGTGGCATTATGAAGCCAAGCGCACAGTGCGTGCCGGCGGGGAAGCTATATAGCCGATAACCGCCACAGCCCACGAGCATATAACCGAAGCCACCACCTGCAGCACATTGGAACGGGGCTCAACCGTCATCGCACACCCCCTTCTACGGATACACGTCGACTTATGTCTCTCGCATCATCCAAAGTCGCCGTCACACTGCAGCTTCATATGGTCATCCCTCAGACTACGGGCCAGAAAGGCTCCGAGTTCGCCTCGCACTCTGTCCCCTTTTCTGGGAGCGTTCCATCCTGGAAATACTCAAAAACATATCTCTCTGTGCATGTAGACGGAGCGGCGAGGAAAGTATGCTTCATCATTTCCAGTCAGCAAGCTCGTGGAAGTGGAGCGTGAACCAACAGGACTTACGCCATAGGAGTTCTGCTGCAGAACGACGGACCCAGGAAACCCAGCCGCGTTGGTGTGCGCACTGACAATGGGGGTGATGGGGTCAGCTACGTTGTTGATGAACAGCACAGGATGCTTCGTCTCGGCCTTGAAGTCTCCTGCACGCAGTCAGTCTATCAACGGCCTTTGGGATACGGTCACAGCTCTACCATTGTAGCTGTAGTTGGGCTCCGTGGTGCGGCCGACACAGCGCAGGATGTTATCCAGATTGGCAGCCCCAACCGAAGGACTCCAGTCCATCAGAGCTCGTGCATTCTGCACAAACTCCTCGAGAGTGTGGTTGCTGCCCTGTGGTCGATCAGCGCAGCGCATGAAGGGATACGCGTCGGGCGTGCTGGGTGTCATGCCCTCCAAAGGCTCGAACGGCGACACGGGCGCCTCGCACGACTCCGCCGGCGCCGGGGGTGTGGGGTGATAGAATGCGTAAAAGGGTCTCCCATCGCCTCGCTCCAGGGCAGCGAGAATCTTCGCGAAGTACGGCCATCCGTAGTATGGTTGGTAAAGGGCCTCGCGAAGGTGCATCTTCAGCTTTGCATACGTGATGAGCTCCGGCACCGCTGGCCCGGTGCATCTATTGGGCTTCACGACAACGGGCTCCCTCCTCAGCGTCTCGAACAGGGCATGGAACCTGTTCTCAATCGCTGCCGGCGACTCGTCAAAGAACTCGCATCGTTCCGATCCCGCCTTGTGGCAGTAGGAATAGAAAGCGTCCATGACTTCCTCGGCCGAATCGAGAAACTGCCGCTCCCCGCCCCGGAACCACTCCAGGTAGCTGGCGTTGGCGTCGCTGAGGATGCGCTCCACGCGGTCGGGAAACATGGCGGCGAAGACGCCGCCAATGATCGTGCCGTAGCTGAAGCCCCAGAACTTGAGGTCAGGAAACGCCGGGTCCCCCTTGTTGACAATCTCGAGCATATCGCGGGCGATGTAGGCCGTACCCGAGTTCTGGGCGAGGCCCATCTTCTGTACCTGCCGCTCGCACAGGGAGGAGTAGGCCTTGGCTCGGGCGTACAGGAGGGGACCGAGGCTCAGGGACCTGTCCGCGTCGATTGTGCCTGGGTCCTGGGCGTCCCAGGTCGCCTTGTCTGAAGGGTGGTCGAAGCACTGGTAGCGGGGAGTCGACGCGCCAACTGTTCTTGTCAGTGGACTCGCTGAGGTTTCGAGTCGAATTCTGGACTGACCGCCGCGGGGGTCGAATGAGATGAGATCCTGGTCCGAGATCTCAGTTGCGTTCCGTTACGAGACGGTCAAAGGGCTTACATGGTTATCACCAACAACGCTCTGCATATACTTGCCATAGAGTCGCAGCACGTAATTACCAGATCCTCCGGCACCCTAACGAATCAGGGTCAGGCTCTCCACAGTATGAGCTGACAACATGAGGAACTTGCACCAGGGTTCATAATGACAGGCCCGCGATAGTCGGTCTTGTTCACAGCGGGCATTCGGGTAATCGCCAGAACCACCCGTCGGTCATCGTTAGGATTGGACCAGTCCATCGGCACCTGGGAGCCGTTAGACGGACAGAGGCATTCGTAAAAGGGCGCTCCCTTACTTACATCGAGACGAGCACAGTCGAGTCGGCTCTCGCATTGTCCAGCGCAGTCGAAACACTTGTGCCACTCTAGCTCCCTCCTGGGCTGAATCTGCCGCGTGGTCAATTCGCCGTGAAAGAGTGAGGCCTGGCGGCAGATGATCATGGCAGATGATCATGGCAGACTCACTCCGGCCCAACTCCAATCGGTTGCCTCAACGATCTGCCCAGACACAACATTCAGGATGGACAAAGCTGTGAGGGCAGCCCCCATCGCAAGCAGCATCATAATCAGTCGGACAGGAAGTGAGGTAGGTCGGTACCTATCCGAGATGAAATGTCTATGGCCTCCCCCGCATCCTCCTTATACATTGCATTGATGGTTTTCCCTCCTTTGCGCCCTCGTAGAACTTTGACGGGAAGATTGACTGAGCGAACACCGGAATCTCGACCAACTGACAAGGGATCTGCGGGCATCGGCCCCCGCCTTTTGACGGGCTATGCAAGAACGGTTGCTATCAGACATGCTGATAGCCTAGAGATAGGCTTGTCACAGTACAAGGGTGTAAGACCCCGGAGGTCAGTGTCACAACTTGGTGGCAAGTTCTCCAGGGAGGATCATTGCCAAGCTTCTGTGCTCGCGACGCGCACCCAAGGAACAGCAAGGTACTGGAGCGGCAACGGGCCAGGTCTACAAGTAACTGCAGCTCAATGAGCTGTCTCGATACACGGGGCCATTCCCATCGATTCAGGCTCCGCAGTCGGCTAGACCGAAGAAGGGAAAAGTGTCATCAAGGTGGGTCGGCGTCAGGCCATCGCTATAAGGCCCCAAAGCTTGCTCAGGTATGATCGGCGCTCCGGATTTGTGAAGCCAGAATTCAGCTTTCTGGCAGCTACCTATGCAATGAAGCATCTCCAATAAAACTGGGGTCATTTAGACTGACGCCCATAGCCGGCTGAGTTTTTGGGCTTGTTGAATATGGCCTGTGCCCATGTATCTGTGTGAACGCATGAAGTATTCCGCATACAAAGTCACCCCAGTCTTCACACGAGATACTCCCCACCTCACAAGTCTGGCACGTCTGCCTGCATGGTACCCACTCCGGAGAGCCTCACAAGCTAACATACCCCAACATGCACTAAGATTGCCGTTCTATAAAGCCCGGTGACATCCACTGCAAAGTAAGTTCTTCGTCGCCCTCTTCCTTACTATCTTATGCTGTTAATCTTGAACCATGGAGTCGTTCGAAGAAATTGTTGAATCACTTCGTCATCCCCAGGAAGGGGTCAAACAGCCACTTCCTCGAGTCACACTTGGAGCTATAAATCGGGATGGTAACATGCCGCAGTGTGCATCCGCCATGCGACCCAGGCTGATCTGGTTGGCGTGTTAGGTTCGTTCCGTTATTCTCAGGCATTCGGAGAGGAGGTTGACGACATTACGGAGACGGATGCCGTACACCTTATCGCCTCGGCTACGAAGCTCGTGACTACCGTTGCTGTACTGCAATGCGTAGAGAAGGGACTATTGGACCTCGATGCAGATGTTTCAAAAATCTTACCGGAGTGGGAAAACCCTCAGATTCTTACAGGTTTCGATGAAAATGACGGACCCTTGCTCCAGCCTTCTGAGAAGGCTATCACCCTTCGGCAAGTCATTCGCCCGTACGCCATGGCATCACAAAATATACTAACCATAGATTGATTTTCCAGACACCTCCTGACTCACTCGAGCGGCATGACGTATACGTTCATGGAGCCCCTCTTGACGCGTTACGCCCAGCTCCCAACCGTGGAGCCTCGGAACCCGCACTCCGTTGTATGTGGACAAAAGAAAGTGTGTAAATATAGCCATTGACTGTGGCATGTAGAAGGAAAAGTTCTTCACATTTCTGGTGTTCGAGCCGGGCAGCCGCTGGATATATTCCCCAGGCGTAGACTGGGCAGGCCTTATGGTAGGACTAATTGTGTCTGCAGGTTGTTGTCGAAAGCTAACGAGCGTGTTGCGAAGGTCGAAAGAGTGACTTCCATGAGACTGGGTGACTATATGAAGCGTCATATTTTTGACCCCGTCTCCGCCAAAGACATCACCTTCCACATGGAAACTCGCGGAGACTTGCAATCTCGATTGGTGAATCAGTGGGAGCGACATGGCGAAACTCTCCGGAGGCCAGAAAAGCCCTTGTGGCCGGCACAAATCAACGAGGATCTCGGCGGCGGAGGCTTATATGCCACAGCGAGCGCGCTGCTCAACATCTACCAGGGCATCCTGAACGGGAAACTTCTCCATCCAGCGACCGTCAAGGCTATGTTTCAGCCGCAGCTGGAAAGCGTCGATGGACTCGAAAGTCGAGAAGGCTATTCGTCATCCTACCTCAACGCAGTTTTCAACACCGTCCCTGACAATGTCTCTGTGAACTTTGGACTCGGAGGCCTCCTTAATCTTGATGCCATTCCGAATCGACGAGCAGCTCGTTCCTTGACATGGTCTGGGATGCCGAATTGCTATTGGGTAAGTCTGCCTACATGCAAAACCTGATAAATACCTGACTGACTGGCCGTATGGCAGTGGGTCGATCTCGAGAACGGCGTGGCTGGTGTTTACCTTTCGCAACTGGTTCCGACTGGAGATGAACAGGCCGTGAAGCTGTTGGCCAAGTTTGAAGAGTTTGTCTACGCAAGCCTTGATGATATGAAGCACCAGTAAGCATACCGGATGCTTGAATATCGCTCGCAGATAGAGATGGTCCCAAGACCTTTCAGCCAACTCTTAGAGACACTTGGAACGATCAATTGCGTTCGTTTCCGAAGTAAATAAACGTGGTGAAACAGCTTTTTAGGTTGTGTCTTAAAGAAAAATACGATGCGGGATGGGAGCTCTGGGCTTTTAATGCGGCGAAGCTCTTCTCAGGAATGCTAGGCTCTGACCGGGATTCAACTTATGTTCTTCAGGCATGCTTTGCCACTGATGCCATTCAGCGGAGGTTATGCATCGTTATCACCACCGAAATTGCGGTTTGGCCTTGAAGAGGGCATGGAAGTATATGGCGAAAGGAACGCCATGATTTCTGATGCATAACAGATTTCGGGATTAGGAAAAGGATTTCTAGATGCTCCACATACAAAGCATCCACGTTGGCTGGGATGAGTTCCTTGACAAACCCGTAATTACCTAAACTCGGGATATTCATCCCCTTTCGCGGCAGGAACTGAGCTGCCGACGTGAGAGGAAGCTCTAAGGGGCTATGAGCAGAGCTGAAGATGTGTGAAAGCGCAAGTCACCTTCTGTTCGACTCAGAAGGCCGCCAGTTAAATATATTTTCACTTCGTACTATCGATTTCCCTGCCCACTGAAGTCTTGTAAATCTTCCTACTATGGTCAGAATTGATCTTGAAGTCGACTCAACAATTGAATGGTGCACTTCTACATGTCATATACAATGATTCAAGCTTTAAAAGGCTCCCTCAAGCTTCCTAGCACCCTCATCTCTACTTCAGCCACGGTACGCAATGATCCTAGCCACTGCCGCTTCTGCGGCAACCATGACGATGGCCGGGGTGTTTCCAGTGGGAAGGTCGGGGTGAATGCTTGCGTCTGTGACGAACTGCGGATTATTAGCATACAAGCCAACAAATCTGATCAATAAGATAAGGCACTCACAAGATTGTCCACGCCGTACACCTTGGTGTTCGTGTCGACGACTGCCTTGCCGCCCTTGCGACCGTCATCGGATCCCATGCGCGCCGTACCAGTGTAGTGGTTGCCACTCCTCAGCGTGTTCAAGATGGCAGTGGTGTTTGTGTTGGTACGAAGAGAGAATCCCGACGTGGGGGCAGAAATGGCGTCGACCATGCTCTGCACAAACTCGGTGGCCGACTCCCTGTCGGCATCCGTCTGCAGGTACGCAGACTGCTCGAAGACTCCAGTGCCGTTGTTCAGGAGGCCAAAGACACCAGTCGACGTAAGACCATGGGTCATGTAGCTAGTGATAGCGACAGTGCCGTTGCCGGAGGCGGCACAAGAGCCCTGGAAGTAGCGGGTGATTCCATCACTACCAACGCTCGACGTGAAGAAAATCAGGCGGTGGCGGCCCTGGGACAGCACGCCAGAGCCGCTACCCTCGTAAAGCTGAATGTTAGTGGTATCGGAACCATTCACAACGCTAGCAAGATCAAGAGCGCCCCAGTTGCCGTTGGTTTGGGCGGTGATGGCGAAGATGGGGTGGTCTTTCAGGTTCTGGCCAACAGGAAGTTTGATCCAGTCTTTCTTGGACGGGACTTTGACGCCAGACTTCTTCGCGGCCTCGATCTGCTTGGTCGGACCGATGCCCGAATGGAAGAGAATCCTGGGCGTGGACAAGGCGCCAGCAGCAAGAACCACCCTGCCCTTGGAGGCGAGACCGATAGTCTCGATCTTACCGTTGCTCTCAACCTCTACGCCAGTTACGCGGCTTCCCTTGCGGATGAGACGGTTGACCTTGACGCCGAGTCGGAGCATAAAGTTGTCGTACTCTAGCGCTTTGGGTAGATAGGTGCGGACGGGGCCGGCGCGCTTGGAGTCTTTGATATTCCACGAGGGGTAGCTGTACGCCTTGTGCTTCTTGTCAGGCTCTTCGATCATATCAACAGACTTCCAGCCGAGATTGTTGAGGAAGGTAGACATGGTCGAGTAGAGACCCTGGTCATAGCGCTGACCATCTCCAGACGGAAGCGTGCTACCGGGGTTACGTTCGTAGAGCCTGGCGGCAGCAGGCGCGACGTTGGGCCACTTCCAGCCGCGAGGCCAATTTTCAAAGTCGTGTGCAGGAGGGTGCACAAAGACGAGAAAGTTGATGGATGTGCCACCACCGAGGACGCAGGCCGCGGACCCAGGGGTGTCCTCACACATGTACCCGGGAGGAATGACGGGGGCCAGGGCGGGAACGTCGACGGCGGTGATAGTGTCGTTCCATACGAGCGAGTTCGTAGCTCCAGTCTCGACAGTCGGTCCTTGGCCGCGCTCGAGTAGAAGGACCTTCTTATTGGTCTCCGCCAGACGCTCCGCGGTAATGATGCCAGCAGGGCCACCACCGACGACAATGTAGTCATACTTGTCTTGGCTGGGTCGGGCGGCCGCCTCACCGACGAGGCTAAGGGCGAGGCCGACCACGATAGACGGGAAGTGCATGGTAACGGACTGTGTGAGTGTGCGTGTGTGAGAGAGAGCCTCCTACACGACCATGATTCTTGCGTCACTCCAACGAGCCGAGCAGACCGAGCCATCTTATACAAGTGCAGATTCTCAATCCAGTTGAGTCAAGGCTTCCGCGACGCTATCCCACAAACTGAAATCCAATTAAGCTCGCTCGGCACATTTACCATCTGATAATCATTACTCCGCCCGTCACCTTTGCTCGCGCGCGGCATTAGACTCGCTTCTGTAAGCACCCCAGTTAGCTCGCGTGGCTGAGCTGGGTGGCAATTGGCTCTTGACCCTTAGATAATTCTTTTAAATCATGATAAGTCTGGCCTATGTGGGCTTCAGTCCGATTTCTTGGTCGAGGACCAGGGATTCGGGGTCAGTACAGTCAATCCACTGACTCGGCGTTGCCGTCATGGGTGGGGCGTGCCCAGCGACACGCGTTCGCTCGGACTTGTAGCCGATGGCATGACGTCGGAGTTTGGCGTCTTGGGAGGCCGGCGTTCGGCTGTCAAGGAGGAGAGAGAGGTTATTCCCATTTGGGCAAGGCTGGCCGAAGTCGTGTAATGAGGCTTGTTTCAAATCAGTAGGGTCATTTTCTGCACAAACAATCAATTTGGCTTCGTCGGCGTGGTCAACATTGATCTAGTATCAAATCACGCAGACAATAACAGAGCAGGGCCTGAAGCTGCCAAAGCTTGATAGGCTGGTTTCTACATACTCCTCAACCAAGCTCAAGTGACGGACGATACTGAATAACAGCCAATGGTCAACGAGACTGTGAAATGATTTAACCCCTTCGTTTGAATCTTCATGCACACCAAAGCAAAGCTACAGCAAAACTACAGCAAAACAGGCACTTGCAGCTCCGGGTGCACAGTTCAGTCTGATTACAACACAGGATTTCTAAGCGGCCCAATATCACAGCACTTGGTCGCAGGATGTAGGGATCGAGAGAAACGTACACGCCTGAGTGCGCGTGAAGTAGCATTCTGTCGGTGCGGAGTCGAAGTCGATTCGACATCGTTAGAGATAGCATGCGTTTGGCTTGATATCACGATTTGGACTTGAAATTGGGAACTGTCTGGAAAAACGAGTGACGGCGAAGGCTTGAAATAATGACTGGTTAGGTGCGTCGAGAGCTCAAGCATGATCTGAATGCAGCGGTAAGCTATACCAATCGCTCCTCCACCCATCTTCCAGAACACCGGGTTCCAGCAGTCTTTCAGGGGTTTCGCTCTGCGTTCTCTCGTCTCGCGAGCGATGTGGCCACAATGAACGATAAACCGGCTTGAGCTCACATTGGTCCTCTGCGAAATTTTCGTCGTCCATCTCCGCATTTGCCAAGCGTTCATCCCTACCTAACTCCTGTGCGATGAGCTCGTCTTGGTGAGTGTCGCGTGGATCCCAGTTGAGAAGCCACGAGAGGCCGATTTGTAAAAAGTACTTGTCCAAGACCACGCTGTCCCTTCCACAGAATTCTTGCCATCCAGCTACGTTAAGCTGAAGGTATTGTAAGGACGGGCGGGATGACATGTCTCTCGCTCCGATGGTGTGAAATATGGACCGAGCAAGCTTCTCGTCCATGGCCGCATTAATGAATGCGTCTCGCAAATGACCAACACGGTACGGCGTAAGGCACGAAAGCTCTCGAGATTCGAATTCGTTGTAAGAGGGCGGCACCGGCAAGCCAGGTGTAGGAACCCACACCATGAGGAGCAAAGAAAGGCATCTCAAACGTCCAAGTCGGCCCAGGGCGGTGTACATAGCGACCTCATTGGCATCTCCCTGTGACCGCCAAATTGGCAGCGCCAGTTCTTCGATCGAGGGGCAGAATTCCGCCAGTTGCTTCACATCCTTTTGCAGTAGGGCGCCGCTAGTGCCTCTCCGAGATTGGGAGGTTAGTCGTAGGACTTTGAGGCTCGGACCGAGGAGAGCAGTTGGCGACGAGGAGTAATAGTCCCAGCCGTCAAGATGAAGGACAGTCAGTCCTTGGCGAACGATCTTCTGCACAAATGGGCTTGCGGCGCTCGAGTCCAATGGAGGTTCGCCATCCTGGGATTGGCCTTTAGCTGGCCACATGCTCAGCACGAATGTGGTCAGGGCTGGGAAAGAGTATTTCAAGTCTAGATCCCAAAGCGCTCTGGTAGGGATGGTCATCTCCAGCCTGAGCGCCCGCAGCACCGAAAGGTCAGTGTTCCTTGACGAGTCCAGCAAGAGCTGCGACATGCATGAACCGTCTCCAGTCAGATCTGTCAGCTGCAGATATTGCAGGGAGCCCATAGAACCCGGCGTCAGTTTTGTCGACTCTTTTACACGTCGGATGATCTTATCCCGAGGCAGGAAGAAGGAATCTGGTTGGGACTGACTGTCCCGAAAGTCCCCGTCGCATAGGAGGCGCGCCTGCTTCACACCAGGTGCCAGCCCAGATACGGCAGCCACGGCGGCTTCAATCTCACGAAGGCATACATCTGTACTAACTTGCGGCCCAGTTCCATGATGAGATCCAAAGCGAATTTTCTGCGCGCATTGAATGCTGTACAGATTCGGCGAGGTGACAAGCTTATACTCGTGGTCGTCAAGGAACGGGGCGTACAGGCTTCGCAGACGGAAAGTACTCATTCGTAGCTTGCATCCCGGAAGCTTGCGATGGATGAGGTCTAACAGGCAGGGTGGAATCTGGTTGTCGCAGCCGTACACGATATCGTTCAAGGCAGTCATCTGCTCCACGAGCTGAACCAGGGGTAGCCACTTGTGATCGTTTTCGTACACTACCTCCATGGCCTCATTTGAGGTCTGTTGGTAGTCGACATCCTGCTGATCCAGCCAGCGGTCTAGATCAGTATCGGCGTCTGGGGCTCTCTCTGGCGCCCGGATCGCGAGCCGCTGCCATGGCCGACCCGGTCCCGTCCCAGCAGAAACTACAGCCAGGGTATCGTCATCGTAATAATAACCGCAGCCGGTAAGTATCAGGCGTTGAACGGCGCTGAAGCCTCTCTGCTCACGCTGGAGTCTTTCCCGACATTGCTCCACTTGGCGAGACAGCTGACCGAACCCTGAAAAATGGATATGAATGGTGCGGAAGAGGATTTCGACAGCACCAGCGTAGCAACCTCGACTCGCGAGAGAAAAGTCCAGGATACTCGCTGGGTATATTTTGTACAGCCATTCACAAATTTCGCGCCGAAGTTCTACGGGCAAATAAGTAATCATTTGAGCGACTGCTCAACATCAGCAGACGGCCAGCATATGAAGCCAACCACAATGCATGCATTGATGCCTTTTCTTGACTCTGATGTGAATAGGGGATCATGACTCACTATTGAATATGCCGACTTGTACGGATTCTTCCTGATGATGTGTCCAATGTCGATAGTGGAAAGCGAAGTTGGGCAGATGACGGGTTCTTTTCCACACTATATGTACAAGGTCAGCCCCAACCGTGGTGCATGCAAGGCAGCTTTTAGTTCTCCGTGCGAGGGCAAAGCACCGATTGGACAACCAAGTGGGACCTGAGTGTGCCTCAAATCATGTTCTTCTCATATTCTCTGCTAATCATGGGTTGCCGATCCACACGTGTGTAGGTATTTAGATATGTAGTGGTGAGCCGTGTTGATAGGCCAAAATCATAGTCTGCCTCTTGAAGCTGCTCGATGATCCCAGGCTTAAATACTTGCACGTCTTGAAAAGAATTTCATCCGGCAACCGAATCAGTGTCCCAATACATAACGTGCTCGTAAAACAGCCTATAAGTCTTATCACCATTATACCTAGAAACGTGTAGGTTAGTCGTTAAGTGGCCGTGATCGACACGATCGTGTGGCGAAGAAGGGAGAAAAACATACTGGAAGCAAGCTATGCCCCGCTCTGATCTGTCCACGTCATTGGCATCGGGTCCGACATTCTCCAGCGCATTTCTGTCCCAGCTATAATTGAGTCGCTGATATCCCTGGATAACGGCCGCAGCATTGGGGATTCGACCTTCCACTTTAAGCAAATTGATGATCTCCTGGACCTTATTTGGGTACTCAAGATCCTGTTTTCTGGTCTTGTACCTGGCGGTCGGCGGCTTGAACTCGTCTTTGTACGGCGACATGATCAATATACGAGTGTTATCTCCGTCCTTATTGAACCAATCCCACCTGACGCCGACTCCTTTCGTGGCCGAGTCCTTCCGCTTGTCGCCGGTGAGGGTGAATTCCACGCGGGACTGAAAGTTGGCCAAGCCCTGTGAGCCGTCGCTCAAGTCATCGTCCCGATTGAGGGCGTGGACCTCCCAGTAGTGTGCCTACCCATCGTCCGTAATACCCATGTCAGTCGCAAGTTCTCGCAATACAGGCGAGGGCTTCGAGCGCCGAGGGGGATTGACTGACCATGTAGACGGCCCTGCGGCTGATGATGGTGAGGACCGTGCATCCATGAAGGCCGCCAGATCCCAACTGAAAGGGTTTCGTTTTAGCATTAAAGGTAGCCTGTTGAGAAACAGTAGCCATGTCGAACCCCGTCACGATGGATCTGGTCTTGCCGAACTTTTCCACAGGTTTGCCTTGGGGATGAAATTGGTTGAATAGGTATTTACCGATCGAGGCTCTGTTCCAACCTTTCTTGTCGTTCTCATCCCATCGCTTGACAAGTACTGACCTCTCGATCAATTCAGCGGTGTACTCATCTGAAGACACCTGAACGTATTCCTGCGCTGTCTCGTTCCAGAGCGTGTAACCTGCTGACTGAGGCGTGGAAGCCTCAGTCGCGTAGTCGCGCTTGTCAAAGATGGAGCAAGAAGAAGCCCCTGAGCCGCATCCTGTCGAGATGTCGCACACATAAACACATTTGTCGCTCAAGATGGGATCGCCAATGACGAGGTCGTCCCTGCGTTCCAGAGAAACGATATCGGGTTGTGAGAAGGAGTGTCTAAGACATTCTCACATGGAAGATTAGCGGTGGTAATCGACGGAACAGAATCTGGCTTGGAAATGTAGTCCACTGGCATGATGCGAGTCCTATTATCGCCGTATACGTCCGGGAGTACTGACCTGTCTACGGCCTTGCCTGTGGTGGCGCTGCCAAAAAGCTGGAGTAGCAGCAGATGCACCCCAAAAAACGTCCTTGACAGCAACATGATGCCAAAAACCACTCTCAGGAGTGCTTCCGGCAAAGAAAGAAGCGACAAAAATCTCGGGATGAGACCTGTCGATCAGAAAGTGGGCTGCAGAGACTCAACTAGGTGATGGTTGATAAGTTGACCACCGATCAGATCACAAGGAGGTAACGGCCGCTCGGCAAGATAGGACTTGTTGATCGGACAAGCGAAGTCAAACTCTACCGCCTCTCGCTATGCGGAGATCCCTGAATGACGGCAAGGATGGCACCGGCCGGTGTCGTGTCATCTGTTGACGCGACTCACGCATTTTGCTCCAGACCATACATACAGATGAAAAGTACGGGACATGCACCACAACGGGTAGTTCGATCATAAGTCTTGCCGAGTCTCTCAGTGAAATATCTTCCCGCACATTTGGGATTGAAGACTATTGTCCTATCGGATTTGCTGGCTATCTTCTTGGCTGCTTAGTGCCGCAGCTAGATCCCGAGATCTTCATTCCAGTCAGCCGGAATCACTGCCTATTACGGTTTGGCATGTGCATTGTACTGGCGCCGGAAATCCTTTCAATAAACTAGTCCACAGAGCTTGTGGTTCGGTCCGATGGGTATCGGCCGGATAATCGATCGAGGGACAGATGGCCGTTGTTGTAGGGCAGACAATTGGTGGAAAGGATACATGATAGGGATTTGAGTCTGATAAGGCATTGCCGTGTTATCCAGGTATTGGGAACTTTTGTACAAACCTTGTAATGGAGACCGTTGCAAGTATTTTGCTGCAGGGACTTATGCAAGAGGCCCTGTCAGCCAAAGGAACTTTTGTCCAACTTTCCCCGCTACTTATTATTTGGCCAGTACTCCATTGCTTCGCCCCTGGGTTTAGTGATGGAGTCGCGATGGAGATACTTGCGTTCAGCCGCGGCCTCGGCTCGGGGCCCCGGAGCAGGCAAGGATTGGCAATTCTTTGCCGTGATGTCTCTGCTACTCTCTTCATGATATGCGTGAGGTTCTAAATATGTAATGGAACCCCAAGAACGGACGAGGTATCGATGCACCTCTTCATCCACAGGCTTTCGACTGAGGCTTCTGTCTTCCTATCCTCATCGCCACTGTTGTCAATAATCCTGATAGCGTGTCTACTCAATGGGACTTTTCAGAGTCTGGGCAGCAGTGCTGCTATGCGCCCTACAAGTCCAAGCCAAAGCGGCATTCGCCCACTTTATGGTAGGTCGGGCTCTTCAAAGCTGAAGTTGGGTAAATGCCAAGATGACATGCTCACAGCCTCGCTCTTCAGGTCTCCAATGCTGTCAATTATACCGAGTCTGACTGGGCCAATGAGATAAGATTGGCCCAGGAGGCTCACATCGATGCCTTCGCACTCAACATGGCTTACAACCAAGGCGAGGCGCCTCAGCTCAAAGATGCATTCAGCGCCGCAAGCGCAACTTCCTTCCAGTTATTCTTTTCTTTTGATTATGCTGGCAACGGACCATGGCCAAAGGACGATGTGATTCGGATTCTTGAGCAGTATGGCTCTCATGGCAGCCATTACAAGTACAAAGGCAAAGCATTCGTATCGACCTTCGAGGGTCCCAAACAGGCCAGTGACTGGACTGAAATCAAATCTCGCACAAGCTGCTTCTTCGTCCCAGACTGGTCATCACTTGGCGCAAAGGCGGCGATGGAGGCAGCCGATGGCGTAGCCGATGGCCTCTTCAGCTGCGCCGCCTGGCCCTGGGGTGACAGGGACATGGATACCTATGTTGATGCCTCGTACGCTCAATATCTCAACGGCAAGCCCTACATGATGCCCGTGTCGCCATGGTTCTATACAAATCTGCCCGGGTTCGACAAAAATTGGCTCTGGCGGGGCGATGATCTCTGGTTCGACCGATGGCAGCAAGTCCTTTACGTCCAGCCTGAATGGATCCAGATCATCTCATGGAATGATTTTGGTGAATGTCACCATGTTGGGCCCATCGTCGACAAGGCTTTGGGTGCGCTCAACAAAGGCAGGGCACCGTTTGACTTTGTTTCTGGGTTGCCTCACGACGCTTGGCGCAAGACGCTTCCTCTTTCGATCGATATGTACGTCAAAAACACAACCACCATTACAGAAGAGGGTGTCACGTTCTGGTACCGCAAACAGCCGATCGCAGCATGTGGGACAGGTCAAACTTCAGGCAACACCGCGTCTCAGCTTCAGGTGGAATTCTCGCCTCTCAAGGTAGTGCAAGACCGAGTGTTTTACACAGCCATTCTGACATCGCGAGCCGATGTGGCGGTGAGCATCGGAGGTGCCAGCCAGGTCGGAAATTGGTCCGATCAGCCGGAAGGCGGAATTGGTCTCTATCATGGCAGCGTCCCATTCAATGGCATTGGACAAGTCAGCATAAGCATCACAAGAAATGGAGCTGCGATTGCTTCCGGCTCGGGCATTGCCATCACGAATCAGTGTGAAACAGGGGGCCTTGCGAACTGGAATGCCTGGGTAGGTTATGCCAAGGGCCCAAGTGGACTATCGAAGACACCACTTTCCATGGATGACCGAGTCTGTGTTGAGGGAAATGGCCTAGGTGGCTTCGCTGGTCTGTGTCAGTTCACCTGCGAGCTCGGGTACTGTCCGCTGGGCGCCTGTTACTGCACCAAAATGGGCGAGCAGCGCAAGTATCCTGAGTCCAAGAACGTCTTGGGATACCCCGCACCTGGAGGTGATGCCAACTACTCAGGCTTGTGCGCTTTTGCCTGTCGCTTTGGATACTGCCCAGAAACTGCATGCGCGACCTTCGAATCGCCTTTGACAATTCCCACAGTCTCACCCTTCTCGCCTCCAGCATGCATACATGGCGTCGGCCCTCCAGGCTGGGAGGGCCTCTGCGACTATGCCTGCAACTTTGGCTTTTGCCCCATAGGTATCTGCACCTGTGACAAGCAGGGAGCCCTGAACCAGCCGCCCGCCACCATAGACAACGTCGGTGGCAGGTCGGGCGACCCCAAGCTCAATGATTTTGGCCTTTGCCATTTTTCCTGCTCAAGAGGCTATTGCCCCGATCCCTGTGTCGAGAATAAGGCTGGGGGACTTGTGTTGATAGATCCCAAGATTTGGAAGGATCCGACGCCAATCGCCTCTTGTATCCCGCCATGCGTGATCGGCCTCCCGCCCCTGACTCTCTCTACGCCAACAACCATCTCGTTCCCTCCCCATACGACAACAATTACTCAGAGCTGGGTAAGGTCAACATCAACAGTGACAGTCTTGGTCATCACCTACCCGCCTATAACGACAACTCTCATCCCCGTCTACAACATCAACATTACCGCCACCAGCGTCAACGGCATTGACTACACCATCACACCGTCAATTTTCCCATCCCAAACTATCACCATCGGGCCCCCGCCTGGGGTCGATGAGACTGCCATGACCCTTGTCGTTACCTCGACGCCCACAGGCTCCACGACATGGCCCCCCCTCAGTGACAAGGACTTACACTCCAAGGTGCGTCACTCGAGTGCTGGGCCCCCTGCGCCCATCTGCGCAGGCAGCGGCTGCGGAGTGGGATGCACCGCCATGTGTAACAGTTGTGGCCTTCTGGGCTGCGGTGGCTGCATTTTCGATTGCGGTACCTGCTTGAGCCCCTTTGGCTGCGGCGGCATTGACATTACAGGCGGCGGCTGCGTGGGCCCAGCTTGTCCTGCGGCTGTCTGCGTCGGCGGTGGCTGCGAGCCTGATGCAGAGTGCGAAAAGCCCAAGACGGCGAGCGCCTGCACAGCGAGCTGCTCCGTCACATTACCGAGTGCCGGTGCCCGTACCTTCACGACTGAGTGTTACACGACGCGCTGCACCGAGAGAACGGCTTGCAATGCTGTGGCCACAACAACCACAACCCGCACTACAAGCGGCTGTCCAACCCTGAGCGCCTACCAGCCATGGTGGACAGACGATAACCAGGCTGTGTTCGCACCCGGAGAAGACGGCTGGGGCGGATTCTTGGCGGCAACCGGCACGTATCTCGATCCGGCCCTGAACACGATCCCCATCGACTATGAGTCGGGCACTGACGATGAAGACGGCGACGGCGGTGGCGGTGACCCCACACCAACCCCGGAACCGGAACCAGAACCAAAGACCACCCCAGCAAGCGGTCGCGAAGGCTATGGTGGCGTCTTCTTCATGGTGTACTGGGAAGTCGGGGGCAAGGGCCAATACCGTGGTTACAGCTTGTGGTCTAAAACCCTAAGCATCAATAACCCAGATATCTGCACATGGGAAAAAGACCCGCTCACGTTGACGTGGAAAGATTATCCCGGAGACCCAATCATGCCTCCGGGTACGATTCAGGGGGTTACTCTCTTTCAAGATACCTGCACTTACTCGAAGCGCACGTTGACATGTGGCAAGTATAAAGATGCCACGTGCGAGAACTTGACAGGATCGTTTGGTAGTCCTACACAGACCGGCAAGTGTAGCAGTGCGAGCTGGGGATCTATCATGGTTTGCCACTGGTTTAATTATTGAGATACGGATGTGAATAAAAGATGACAAAGGCATTGTTTATATTCATAATGAAAGTAACTTATTAAATGACTATTGACAAGTGCCAAACCGACTTAGCTTAAGCTAAATCGCTGCCTCTGTATCAAAAGAGCATCCTTCATCGGTCGTGAACGACTATCATACTAACCCTTTAATATTCGACAGGCATTGATGCCTGCTCCTTTCCCCGCTGTAATCCAGATGAAGTAGTCTGTACATCATGGTGGCCCACTGCTGCCAAAGGCATTTCTGCATCAAGAGCTTTGCACATCTGCCTGACACCTCCGAGTATGATGTGTCTCGAAATGTACCGTCATGGTCGGTATCAAAGACCTCCTTCGGTCAGAACTTGGAGAGTTATAAGCCGTTGGGCCACAGCCTACTCCAGATTTTCGCTGAGTTGCACCAGCCTGAGGCTTTGGGAGAGTAACTCCAATGTGGTCATCAATTTGGTGCCGGGGGACGGAAAGGGAAAGGGCGCCGAATGGCCAAGCCTTCGGACGATCCGGACAATGCACAATGCCACCACAACTTACCATTGTTCTAGGCGACTTTCGCACCTTTCCTTGTAGTGAAAAACGCCCTGGCTCGTTTTATTAAACCGAGTCGGCATGGTGTAAAAGGGTGTCTCATGAGTCAGGCCACTGATGATTGCTGACAGCCGTGTATCACGGAACGAAGTCAGCCAGACGCGAAGGGTGCGTAAGGGCACTTCTCTTTGTGATCATCTCAATTGACACAATCACAATCAAAGTTTGATGATTTATGCTACAAACAGTATCCATGAAATTCCTGAGCTACTTTGGATCGATCCATGCGAGTTTGGCAGGCTTGACGGTTGTTATTAAATGAAGACAAAGTATCGTTGTGGAAGGGGACTTGAAAATCAACATCGGGCAAAACATCAGTGAACTGCATTCTCTTCACTCTACTATAACCATCTACCCAACGCGATTCTAATCGCCTTCGCCATCATGCATGCAACAAACCCTCGATACGATGTAGAATACAAACAAATGCTGGACTCGATGCCCGCCGGACCGCAGCATCCTCTGGAAACTATAGGCGAAGTCCGGACCTTCTTTGAGAATCTTTACGGGTCGAGCTTCGCTGCCATGCCGGTGGCTGAAGACATCAAGTTTACTAGTAATGAAATTCCTACTTACGACGGTGCCGATATCAAAGTGTACAAAGTTTCAAGCGACAAGACCGCATCTGCCTCGGGCCCTCAACCTGCTGTGCTCTACTTTCATGGCGGAGGCATGATGTGTGGTTGCACGAACATCTTGAAGCCCCTCATTGCGCATTACGTCTCACACTCGGGGGTCACATTCTATTCTGTCGACTATCGCCTTGCGCCCGAGCACCCTGCTCCTGCTGCCATAGAAGATGCATACGCGGCTCTCAAGTTCTTAGTTGATCACGACGCAGAGTACAACATCGACGCCGCTCGCATCTGTCTCATGGGAGATTCAGCCGGCGGCCTTGTCGCGACGGGTTGTGCAATGCTGGCGCGCGATAGGGACCTGGAACCACGGGTTACTATGCAGCTCCTAGTGTATCCCATGTTGGATGACCGTACAACGCTACCAGGGGATGACCCTTCGTGGCCATTCCTGAGCTACAAGCCATTCTTCAACACTAGATCTTGGAGGGCCTATCTGAAAGATGGAGTGGTGTCCGGGCATAGCGTGCCTGCGCGCCAACAAGATTTGGGTGGGATGCCGCGAACCTACGTCGAGGTAGGAAGCCTGGACCTGTTCCTAGGGGAGAACCTGACTTATGCATCGAGACTGGCCAAGGCCGGGGTGGAAGTTGAGCTGCACGTTTGGCCCGGTCTTCCTCATGGCTTTGATCTGGCATTTGGGTTAAATGTCACGAAAAAGGCCCTTGAAAGTCGAATCAATGCGTTGAAGAGGTTGTAGATAGCTCTGATATGCTTCGGCCCTTCATGATACATCCCGTTTGGAGAAAGCAAAGGGCTTTCGACCACTCAGAAATAGCTAAAAGTCAAGTTTGGATGTATCAGACTTGCACATAAGCCATCGTATAAGTATGTTGTGGTGTAGCTCATCATCTTTGTCCAGAATGTCGCACGATGTGCGAAGGTTTGAGCACCTGGCGACTCATATCTCCTCGACGCTCCACAGTCGCCCGAGTGACCAGAATTTATCCTTTCTCGTCTGGCCAACGTGTAAATATTTAAGGAAATTTTGTTAGGCGTGGACGAAACGAACTGTAACTGCTTAATGGGTGTGATGGAAAAAGACAGCATGCATGACGGTACCAAAGGCGGATACACAACCCTCGGGGCAGACCACCGGCAGGTCCAAGGCGGGTCAAGTGTTGGGACGGTTACTTGAAGGTGACAGAGGGACGCAATCGGATTATGGAGCATGACCAAAAGGGGCTTGGTAGATAGCGACTGATTCTTGACCTCCAGCTCGTGCATCGATGCTAGCCGAGCTGTAGATGTATACTCTCTCACAGGAGCTGGAACGCGGTTCGGGAATAGCCTCGCTTACCCTGGTCTCTGGTCTCATCCTCAAATCCGGGGTCGGACACAACCCTGGTGGCATTGAGCCAGCCCTCATCAGCGTTATGTTGCATAGAGGATGAGACCCAGGGTGCCGCGTCACTGACAGGTAGGGGTGCGACCAGGAAGATGAGCCCTTAAAATGCGCCCTTATTGGAAAGTCGGAATCGCTGGGTAGATGGTGGCGGGATGGTATGGCGATCTCGGAATAATCAGAGGAGAGGCCTACAAAAATGAGCATGATAGATGCGTGCTTCTACATCATATTATCGCCCTTCGCTGGAATGGCATGATAGGACGCCGTCCTTTCGAATTCAGCATACTCTCGCTCGATGCGACGGTCTGCGGCAAGAAGGATAACAGAGTTCAGTCGGTGGGCAGACTCCATGACTCGACCACAGGCGGCCCCCCGTCCAGCGTGTCTTGGCACGGAATAACCTGCGCGGGCCTGCCACCATACTTGTAGCAATGAAGAAGCTCGCATCATCCGAGGCAAATTTCCACCAGAGGAAGGCCACGTTGGCTGCACAAGTCGTGGTTATGAGGCCCTGGCAAGGGCGCACAAGGCGTAAACGGCGCCAACGCCAGCGCCGTTGAAAAAGCCACCCAGACTCAGGGGGCGGGCCACCGACTGACCTGCCTAATCCACGAGGAGTCAAGTGTCGATTGCCGTAGAGAGGGGAAGGCCGCCAGTCTTCCACTTGGCCGCTGAAAAAGTACAAGCCTGCTAAACGAACAAAGGACGCACGCTCGTCTGTAACAGCGAGTTCTCCGTCCTACCGAACCGCCAGGCCCTATGGATGGACTCGTTCGCTCCTGTGCTTTCCAGAGACAAAGGCTAATTCGTTTCGGGGTCTCGTATTGTCTCTTAGGGGCTGACGGAGAGAAAGGGGACCCGTTGAGCGGGACCAGCTGGTAGCCCAGCACGTGTAGCGGCATGCCGACTCCCGCCCGCGAGAGGGGAGGGCTCGCTAACGAAGATAAGATGGCGGTCATGGAGCCTGTCTTTCTTTGTGTTGTCCAGTAACTGGGCGCTAGTTCAGGTACAAGTCACGAACTCAGGGCAGATGGAGGAGCCCGAGGGACGCCACTCGGTGGGAGGCCAACGGCGCCGATGTGGGATTTGACACTATTGGAGCTTGCGACACGCGCTCGGCGCGGTATTGGCGGAAGAAGACGCAACGTTCGGCCTACTGGCCATGCACGGTCACCAGGTGTGTATTTTGTCTTTCAAGCACGCTGATGAGTCTGGCTCTGCATGCCAATAGCCTCATGGGCTGTGTGCTGCATCTTCAGCTTGGCTCTACAGGAGACGGATGCGTAGTTCAAGGGCTGGCCGAGACATTGATCGGGGCCCAGCCTGGGGCTGTTGATGTTCGACAAGGGTGGCATCCTGGCACCAGGTGCTTCTTGGTGAACTCAAGGCGAGCAGCCAAGCAGCTAAGGAGGCAATAGGACCCGATCAGCTGGTCACGCCCGCAGCTGGTGCTTTACCGAAGGTGGAGACGGACTGGTTCGGCCTTTTTGTTGTGTTGCGGTGATGCAGGTTCCTCTTCTGATCGGTGATGGTTGTTGTCGTGATTCTTCAGCATTCGCACAGGTGGCGGGCGCAATGAATGGCTTTTCTCGCCGGTCTCCTTATTGGTCCTTACATAGCATCTTCCCTGATGGCGGCCACGTTTCCCCCGCCGTGAAAGCGAGCAGCGAGCAACCGCCCAGCGGTCGGCTTCGCCTGTGCCGAACCAGAGATGGTAACGAGCCTGCGTGGCGAGCAGGGGTAGGGCATGGGATCGAGACAATCGGCTTGTTGGGCCTGGTGCGAGACCCCAGGACGAGCCGGCCACACATGTGTCCTAATAGGGACTGGACTCAACTGCCAAGATGAGCCGGACGGTGCCGCTCAACCCATTTAGCCCCGGTTCGCTCATCTGGCCCCATCTTTTCCCTTGGGCATCTCTCCCATGCTGAGCATCAAAGAGGAAGCTCTAGCGCCGACAAAGTAGTGAGTGCTCCCACATTCAGCGCCAGACCAGCGGCCAGGAACACGAACAACCTTCCGGATATAGTCGGTGCTGTGAGAGGGGCGGACGCCGCTAGCAAACCACCGAGTCCATGTGGGCGTCAGGGGGGCGTGGTTGCGATGATGATGATCGTGTCTGTAGGCATTGAGATCATCCACGCACCACGCGCTCAACAGCTTGAAGAAGCCTTTGCCTGCTTGTATCCTTTCCTGCGCCTTGGAAAGCTCTTTCGAGGGCAGAGCACCCAGCGTGGGCCGCTGTTGTATTCGTATCGAGGCACAGACACTTGTACCCGTAGCACGCCCGCCGCCTGCCGCCTCCCACATCGGACAAGGCACACCCACACCATCCAGGGGTCATCTCGTGGAACAGGGGTGGTCCCTCATGTCGGTTCGTGGTCAGACGTGTTGCGGTCCAGGCGTCCA